CACCACGACACAGTCAGCGTAAGCAATTCCAAACTTAACGGCTTCCCTGGTAATCGGTATTTTTTTTCCAGCCCTACAATTAAGGGTAGTTTTGGAATTATGAAAATATCACTTGGGTGGATATTAGCTAAGGGTGTTTCTCTAATTATTTTTAGGAGTTGTTGTTTTCGTAATTCATTTTCCTAGATGGGGGTTCTTTCTAATTAGCCATTTTATTTAAGATCTTATAATGAGTAAAAATAGGAAATAAACTCGTTATCCAAACACCCTAAAAGATAATCTAAAAAATAATATGTAACAACTTATCAGATCTAAAAACATCTTATTAGACGTAAGAGCTTATCAACTATTTATAATAAGCTTAGTCAAACATCCTCTTTGAAACACGTGGATTATTTCCACATATTGTTTTTAACTTTCTTATTTTCTAACTAAATTTTAGTTATGGAACAAGTAGTGCTTAGTGGGTTAAGTATAGTGCTTAGTGGGTTAAGTATAGTGCTTAAGTGGGTTAAGTATAGTGCTTAAGTGGGTTTAATTGTGAATATTATTCTAACTCCTTAAACTAACCCACTAACCCATTTTCTTGAGTGTTCTTGTAGTTGGTTTTCTTGCAGATCATGGGCTGAGGAGTGGAAGCTTGGAATGTCTATAAATACCGACTTCAAGACTCAAGGAAATTAATCGATTCCACGAAATAAAAACCGAGAGCTGAAAAGAAAACATGAGTGTTTTAGAGTGGTTTTAGAATCGGTCGTTTGTACTCCTCATGAGTACATTCTTTACGTACTCCTCATGAGTACATTCTTTACGTACTCCTCATGAGTACATTCTTTACGTACTTCTCATAAGTACATTCTTTGTAGTCTAGATTGTTTAGTATATATGTTTCTAGACTTGGTTACGTTGTAAGAATGATCAATATAGTGATTCATTCATAAGTTCTTTACGTACTCCTCATGAGTACATTCTTTGAAATCTAGAATTTTTAATATTTTTCTTTTAGTATCTAGATTTGATTGTAAGAATGATCATGAGAATGATTCATTTGTAAGGAAGAAGTTTTCGCACCTCTTCCGTTTGTATTCTTGGAATACTGATTTTAATATATTTTTCGTCCTGTAAAGGACAAGTTCACAAGTCTTTACTTGTGAACATTTTTAAATCTGAGTATTGTCTTTTAATCTTTATATTTCCGCTGCATGTTTATACAAGTGTCATAACACTTTATACAACACCTATGTATTAAACGAATTCGGGACCATAAATTATTTCACTCTTAGTATTTATTATTAGAAGTAATGGCAAATAGGTCCATGACAAGTGCACTTAATTAAAAGAGGGACATCCAACTTTTTTGTCTTTCAAATAAATCCATTCCATTCAAACTTATTTGCAAATAAGGAAAATCCTTTTATGTATACCAAAATTACCCCCAATTCATTGAAACCCAATTCAATTTTTCATGATTTACACTCCAATTTAGCCCAATTTCATCAATTAACCAATTTTAACCCTAATTTCAATTTTGACCCCAATTTTAATCCTAATTCTTATCAATTCCACCATTATGCTCTAACTTTCTTAATATTACACATTGACCCCGGATTAAACAAATATATCACATTAACCCCCCTTTTTTTTCAGATTTTTTTTTTCTAAAATGTTTTTTTTCCGGCCAGATTCCTGTCTCCGGCGTTGACTTTTTTTTTATATATAATTTTGTTTTTTCTTAATTTTTTTTAATTAATATTACTATCTTGGCTGCTAAATTACTGTCTCCAGCAGTTATTTAACTGTCGGAGACAGTAATTTAGCTGTTAATTAATTTTTTTTTCTTCAAAAATATTTTAATTAATATTACTGTATTCGTTGCTAAATTACTGTCTCCAACAGTTATTTAACTGTTTGGAGACAGTGATTTAACTGTTAATTGACTTTTTTATTCTTAAAAAAAATATTTTTAATTAATATTATTGTATTCGTTTGCTAAATTACTGTCTCCAGCAGTTATTTAACTGTCGGAGACAGTAATTTAACTGTTAATTGATTTTTTTTTTCATTTTTTTTCTTACAAAAAAATATTTTAATTAATAGTACTGCCTTAGATGCTAAATTACTGTCTTCAACAGTAATTTAATTGTCTTAGACAATAATATTAATAATATTACTGTTCGGAAAAATAATATTCATAATATTACTGTTCGGAAAAATAATATTCATAATATTACTGTTCGGAAAAATAATATTCATAATATTACTGTCCCAAACAGTAATATTACTCTCCCAAACAGTAATATTATTGTCTGAGACAGTAATTTAGTAGCTAAAACAGTAATATTAATTAAAATATTTTTTTCTTCTAAGAAAAAAAAATTCAAAAAAAAAAAAAAAAAGTCAACGCCGGAGACCGGCGGTCAACGGTGGTTGACCGACTGGAAAAAATTTCAGGAAAAAAAAAAAGTTTTCAAAAAAAAAAAAAAAAAAAAAGTCAACGCCAGAGACCGGCGGTCAACGGTGGTTGACCTACCGGAAAAAATTTCAGGAAAAAAAAAGTTTTCAAAAAAAAAAAAAATCAACGCCGGTCTCCGGCTGTCAACGCCGGAATCTGGCTGGAAAAAATATTTCAGAAAAAAAAATTATTTTTCTGAAAAAAAAAAAATTGGGGGTTAATGTGATATATTTGCTAAAATCTGGGGTCAATGTGTAATATTAAGGAAGTTAGAGCATAATGGGTGGAATTGATAAGAATTATATTATTGAGGGTATTTTAGACTAAAGACATGAGGATGGGCTTAATTGAGAGACTATTTTTTTTTTGAACCAAAATGTATTTAAGTCCCATGTGATGGGCCTTTTTGGCATTCGCCCTTATTAGTATGGTGACGATTTCAAGTCAAATATTAAAAAAATAATTATAAAAAAAAAAGGTTTATATATAACCAAAATTAGCACATAACTAAAATTGGTGAATGAACTCACATAGTTGAAATCGATGTGGTTAGAATTTTCATGGACATATTTTTTGGGTCTCTTTAACAGAGGTCTTTGAATTGAACGATTAATGAGTCATTAGTCATTACATATAATCTTAAAAAAAATCATTAAATATTATTCAGTCAAAGTCCAAAATCTAGAGAAAAACAAAAATAAAAATCAAATAATATCATAATAAGCCAAAATCTAGTTTATATATAAAAATTGAGAAATTTATAGTTTTCATTCTCAAGTTTGCAACGATTTCACATGTGGTTCCCCATGTTCACAAAAAACACATTTGGTCCCTCATGTTTTTAATTTGACTATTTTGGTCATTTCCGTCAATTTACTATTAATCCGTCAATTACAGTGATGGAAACACGTTTGATTCCATTAGTTTTAATGGAAAATTGATGAAAATAACTAAAAATGTTGAATTTTTGAAACACGAGAAACCAAATATATTTTCCCTATAAAAATTTAAGAGTGTTATCATTATAAAAATTTTGAACTCCAAAACTTTCCATCCAAATGCAATGCAACTACAACATAAAGATGAAACTTCCAACATAACAACCACCATCATATAAAGTATACTCATGAAATCAAATCAAAATATATTTACCAAAATGCATCATTCAAGAACCTTTTCTTTGTCTCTGTATTTTCAACAAACCAGAACGTAACAATGTTCTATATCTCTCATTTAACAACAATCTCAATCAACTATTCTACTTGCCCTAAACAAGATTAGTCATCAAACAACTTGCAGAATTCTCCTTTTTTATTTATTTACGCTTATATCAAGAAGTGATCTCAAGAATACTGGGCAATTTTCTTCTCGAGCGAAGTTTTGTCAACTCCAACAACTTTATCAACCTCTTTACCGTTCTTCACAAAAGAGAAACACGGGACCATAGTGATGTCCCATTCACCAGTAGCTTCTTTAACCTCTTCAATATCAACTTTCAGGAATACGGCTTTCGGATATTGTGTTGCTAAGGTTGAGATTACGCTCAAGGGCCCACAGCTTGGTGCGGTGAAACAGAGAATTGTGAGCCGTCCTATCTTTGAAGCAGCATTTAACTTTTTTTCTAACTCACTAGCAGAACGAATCCTAATCACTTCTCCTGTTCAAAGAAAAAAATATCAGAACCTTAAACCAATCAAAACACTTCAATGTTGAATGATGTTAAATCTTCGAATGGAAGTTTGTTGTAAGTTATTGAGAGGTAAAATTACAGGGAATTAGTAGTCAGTCATAGTAATATTATGCAGTAAAAGTGAAGGTTTGGTAAATAAATAATCTGATTTTATCTGCGAGATTGTCGAACATAAAAAGGAAATTATCTTATGCACTGGTTAATAAAGTGGAATGCGGTATGAAAGTACATGTTAGGACATAATTCAAATTGCTTCTTGCATGGGCAATATATGTTTCTTTAAATTATATATCTAATATGTAATAAACTGAAATGTCCATACCATCTTTTAAAACAGACGCACTCTCAGCATCCTGCATCAAAATCAAAAGAAAGTGATTAGTTATATAGAACACGACAAAAAAACTTATAAATTAATTTTAAAAAAAAATCATAATGAAGTAAATAATATTGACTTACTTCGCGCTTCTTTTTTTTCTGGTCAATTTCTCTCAACTTTTTTTCTTCGCGCAAGCGGTCATATTTTATACGATGCTCTTTCATTCTCTTTGCATTAGTTTCAACCTGAAAATTTTAAAGCAACATCATCTAGGATTTATAAGTAACCTTTTAAACAGCAACACGTAGGACTAAATATTATATGTGCAAAGTAAGAAAGTGAAGCACATGAGTAGAGGCATCAAATAGAATGATTAGAATCTAGATAATCAGTAAAAATAACCTTCTTTAGAGTTGAGTCAATTTCCTCATCAAAATCCAACTTCGCAGCCACATGCAAATCATCAACCGCATCTTCCCATGATCCCAACATCGCCAATGCTATCCCTCGTGCTTTATGCCCTTTTGCTGAGTCAGGGTTGATCTGAAAATGAAATTGCATCGAAATCAAGAATCCATATATTAATAGCTGTAAAGTGTGGTAAGTGCAAAAAACAGATATACCTGTAAAGCCGCATTACCATCTCGTATTGCAGCGCTTGGTTTCTTCAGTTTGATGAACACACTTGCTGCAAAAGAAACATTTCGGATCAACACAACAATGTCAACGTAATATACACTATAGTTTAGAAGTGATAATATATTTTAACCAACTGAGATGGTTTGATTTGTTCATATTTACCTCTATTTGCGTACATAATTGCAGACATCGGATTCAACATGATTGCTTCCGTCAAATAATCTATGGCTTCACTAAACTTACCTGAAATTCATAAAATTGCAGGTAACACATATTAATATATTATATACTTCCCAGTAACAGTAAAATATTTAGCTAAAAGAAATTCAGCATAGGTACCGTCAGATATTGCCTCGTTGGCTTTTGCTTTTGATATTTGAGCAGCTTTTTTATTTTCATCAGTTACTTCGATCAAAGGGTTCCCCATCTGCAATAACAAAGTAAACAAACATGTGTAATAAGCAAATAGTGAATATATATTTTTGGTCCAGTTTTTCAGTTACCCACCTTTTGTGGAGGATCTTTTTCAGCCTCGATGAGATCAGAAATTTCCAACTCAACATCAGATTCAACAATGTCATCATCATGTGTACCCTGCATCAGTTTTTTTATCGTTAGCGAAAATCATAACCTAGGTTATGATGCACTACCGAAAAAAATAGGTATGAGCCACAAAGATTTCTTCGGAGATAGCTTTTTTCTGTTTTAATCAAGCTATCAATTTAATGCACTATTAAAATTTATTTTCCATCAAATAATAGTATTGTATTAGCTGCATTAATGTTGAGAGCTCATAGTTATATAAACTCCCATATTGTAACCTGAGATGTGGTTACCATAAGAAAATGTTCAAAACCGTTGATCATAGAATATTGTCTCGCAATAAGTTCGAGTTTCAAAAAAAAACCTCATTTAAAAGTCTTAAAAATTATCATAATCTTGATTAATCGAATAATCAAGGGGAAACAAGCTTCATAAAACCCAACTGAAAAGATCTATTTCGCAGATCAGTTGAACTATTCTTATTTTCAGTAACATCATCAATCCCAATCTTCTTCCTCAATTTCTCGACAGCAATTAATTATGATCTTAACTCAAAACAAACTAGAAAAAATTCGCAACACAAAATCTATAAGGGCAGGATATATTAGTCGAAGAACTCGAACCGGACCAACTTACCTAGTCGTGCATCATACATCAATCATTAAATCTCAAAATGAATTAGGAACAAGCTTAGTTCAAGAACCATACACGTCGTATAAAAATTGTTGAGTGCTGACCACTTGTTGGAGCCAATGGCCGGACTAGACGACTGAGATGCCCCTAAAACAAAGGAAAACACAAACCAAAAGTTTAAGAAGCCATCAAATGTAATGCAAGCCAAAACTTTACAGCCATTGAAAATAAAGTTGGATATCACCTGGATTCTCCCTGTGTCAGGAATCTCATGAGTGGACTCCATTAAAATCTAAAACAATCCAAATAATTTAGTAATCAAAAGATGAGATGCAAAAAGTTAAGATAAAGAAAGAAAATAAAGAGGAGAGATCTTACAATCAGTAATCTAGCAGCCCTCAACTTTGAGGCATAGTGCATTTGTCCTTCTTCTGATGAGAAGGACCATTCATTAACGTGAGCCTGAAATTGAAAATTTAGTCATATTGCAGTTGGCTTTTGAAAGAATTTAAATAACCCAAAAAGTCCTATCACTTACTTCTGGAACTACGTATACAGCAAACTGATGTAACAAAGGGCTTGTTGGATGTTGCTCAGCATCCACAAGTACAGCCTTATAGTAATAGGGTCCAGCAGGATCACCTAAAATAAGCTTTATCTTACGACCTGGTTCAAAATCTTTAAGGCTTTCAAGATTCAGTCCTTTAAGTGTGCATAAGTCTGAATACGTTGAGCGAATCTCTTCTTCTTTTACAAGTGCTTCCACGAATTTTCCATGCTAAAACACATTAAAAAGGTTAATTAATTCCAATTCCTGCAGATATAACAGTTAACAATATGTTCAATTTAAGTAGCAAAGAGCATCAAAGCCACTGATCTTAAAGCATCTGATTAGCATTTACATTGAGTGTATGTGAGCAAATATTATTTAGTATCCTGACCAAATGCATGTGTGTTTTTAGTTTCATCAAAAACCATTTCAAGTTATTTCATTCATAGAGAGGGTGAAAGTGCTTTACCTTCTTTGAACTATGAGATCGAATATAGAGGTCATCAGAGTAGTCATCCAAGAAAAACGATATCTTAGAAACAGAAGCACAAATATCTTTCTCTAGAACCACCATAAATGTCTGAACTCTTGGATATTGAGTCGAAATGGCATGAAGACTCATTTTCCATCCACAACGGAATTTGCGGAAAAGTAAATCTGAGGAGAATATATATATATATATATATATATATATATATATATATAATTATATATATATATATATATATATATATATGATGGAAAAAGAGGATCACAACTGAGAACTGCACAATACATACCTTTACATTCACCAAAAAGAATAAAAGAAAATGAAGCTATGAGGAACAAACAATACCTAACAACTTGGGTTCTGCTGAGGTGATACATATATATTTCCCGCCAGGTCTTAAAATCTCTTTTACCTGGTAATGCACAACAAAATAGAGCATGACACTCAAAGAAACAAGATCCAACATCGGTATCAATTTCGAATAACACATACTTTACTTATATACACAATCCCAGATGTTGTAAACTCAACATCAGGCAGGGTTAATAAATCCAATCCACCCTTGTCCACGACTGCATCAAAGGTCTCATCTGCAAACTGAACAGAAACCAAGAAACCAAAATCATTAGACTTCACATAAAACATTTCATCATCCAAAAAAAAAAAAAAGAAAAATAAATAAATAAATAGTACTGGACCAGAAAGAATCCCATTATTTTACCATCATCCACAAAAATCACAAACTGATAAGAGTCACTAATTTAATTAAATTTCTAGCAAAACAAGTGATTCCAAAATCAATCAAGAATATTTCCATGGCAATAATTGCAAGATTCATCACCAATATACAAGCAGTAGCTAATACTAATAGCAGAAGAAAGGAAACAAAAAAACTAGTAGCAATAACAAAAGAGCTGCTGGAAAGAGAGAGCACTCCAAGAAAGCTATCCACATGATTTAGCAATAGCAATAATTCTTCTGGTACATGTCAGTTGCTGACATTAAATATAAAATGAAACACTAAATTGGTTAAAAAGATTTATGTTTTCCTTAGAGTGATTCTCCGTACTGACTTTAGTCTTTAAATTAAAGCATGGACCAGATTCTTGAGACTATATTAGTATTTTCTAGGTACCAATAAAAAATGATCTTCATATCTGCTAATTCCAAACAGTTCCAACGGCATATGTGTGCCTCTTTAGTATCATGCGTGTGTGTACCACCATAATGAGCAATTGGATTACATCAAGTGCAAAAATAAATTTGCCTTCAAATTCCTTACTAACTTTATAGTTGTTGTGGACTTTTATGAAGTCATACACTCAAATAGGCGGCAATGAACCATGATCAGATAGGAGGAAAGGCCTAAATAATACTTTGCTAATTTTCCATAAAACAGAGGTTGCTAATTCTGCAGTGAGTCATGCACGAAACCTAAAGCTAACAACAAATAAAGGTGGTAATCTGAGAGATTTTTCACTGCTATATATATTCCTAATTTACCTAACATTATTCTATTGAAAAAAGATTGTAATGTATAAGAGCAAACTGTTGCAGTATCACATAATAACTACGTCCTCATCAGAAAGGCCATTGAAACAGTACATTAATACACATGGACAGGAATATATATGGGATTACAAATTGTTTTCCTAATGAGATAAATATACGTGTGTGTGTGTGTGTGTGTGTAAATTATAAATGGTGTGATTAGAAAGCATTTTACCCAAAATCATTAAATAAAAAAAAAAAAAAAAAAAATAAGAGCAGTTACCGCAGCAGTCCAATCATAGTGCAGCTGGTTTGCCGCATCGGAATCCTTGCACAAGAAGTCAGGAGTTATGAACTTGGAAAAATCTAACTCATGTATCTGCGTAAAACCACCATCACGCAAATGCTTCTTCAGCTGTGAGTTCCCCACCCCCGGCACCAGAATAGCCAAATTCGCCGGTTGTATGGCCGGCGGCGCCTCTCCGGCGGGTACCGGCAGTAACAAGGACCGGGATAAAAGCTGACTCGTGAGTTCGCGCAGGAATTTTGGCCACTCCACATACCTGCTCTCTCTCATAGTGAAGATAAACTTCCACTCCTCTACGTTGGTGCGGGTGCGTTCTAAGAGAAAGCGGTTACTGTGCGTGTTTTTGGTGCGTGTTTTTGATGCGTGCGTGTTTTTGTTGCGTTCGGTTTGAATGGGAAAGAGAGCCAATATAAAGGCCCGCTGAAATTGAAATACTCCGGACCGGACCGACAGCACCGGTTAAACCGGGAACAGGTTGCAGATCCGGTCCAGTTAGTCATATAAAAACCGTTAAGTCCAACAACCGTGTCAATATCAGATAACCGGAAGAAACTACGGTTCGACCGGAAAACCAAAAAACCGGTGAAAATCGGGTTTTCAGAAAATGTGGCTAAGTTTGGAAGGGTGATGGTCGGAAAGAAGAAGAGAGATGAATGCATTTCAAGTGCGGCCGGATCTGTAAGAAATTGTATGGATCTGATGGTTGAAAAAAAATAAGAAGAGAAAGAAATAGGAACTTGGGGTAGCCAGATATAGGGGCTTGGGATGGAACTTGATGGTGCATCGGTGCCATGGATTGGTGGTTGTCAAAAAGAAGAGGAAATAAGTAAAAGGAGAAAATTATAATTGGATAAATGGAAGATATTAGAATATTTTTTATCAATTATAGGATTTTTAATGTATTTTTAGTATGTAACTAGTGTTGCACCCGTGGTAAATACATATTACTATTTTTTTGTACAGAAAAATATATATTTTCAATTGAAAATCGAAAACATAGGACTTATTACTTAGTAGAAGAAAAGATAATTTCAGTTGTATGATGATATATGACTTTTTAATAATATATATATGACTTATTATCTATGCGTGAATGATATTTTAATAACTTGGTAGAATATTTATTAGCAACCTTTAAAGCATCGTAGTCATAACATAACATATGATTGTAAAATACAGGTTTATCTTGAACACAAAAATATAGAATGAAGAAAACCAAAACTTGATAAAAGCAAATGCAACTTATCAGAATTGGAAATTATTATTGCCGTGACTTGAAAATTTAATTTCCCTTCATACATTCAATAATAGTGAAATTCGACGAGAACACCCATAGACGTCTTATAATTTTTTTATTTTTTTATAATTATATGTCTAAAATATGTGTGTACTTACATTAGACTTCTTAAAGGAAAGCCATCTACCTGGGAATTTTGATCAAGAAATGAAGAAAAAAAACCTATAACATCAACAAATGAAATAAATGCCAAAATTCTTTATAAACCGCTTAAAAAAAAGCTCGATATATGTCATTCACTCCATAATAAACTACCCGATACCGCGTATTTGATGACTAATAAGTAACATGAACCGTTCTGCTTAATGCCTATCATCAGCGAGTTTTGGTCGATCGAAAATCTGATCAAAAGTCATGCAATTCAAGCAACACGACTTTGTTGAGCAGAGAAAACACACTTCTAAAATTTTCATAAGCAGTTGACATCAAGTGAAGAAACCTATCAGACTTTTCTTTACTTTTTTCTACTTTCTCAATCTCCAAAAATGATATTGGGTAACTTTCTTCATCATCTTTCCCCTGCATTTTCCATTGTTAAACCATACCGAAAATTAAATTTTGATATATACTATTGATCCAGCCCATTACCGATTGGCAGATCCAGTAAAGACTAAAGGCCCAACTAGGGTCAAAAGGCACCATTAAGCCCACCAAGAGAGGAGGGCCCATTAAACTGACGCCTTGTTAGGCGAGAGGGACCAATACCCGCGAGAACGAGAAGCTCTCTCGCTCTCTCGCAAGGTTTCTCACCAGACCAGCCCGAGTTGATCCTAGCTGCACGTGGAGGTATTTAATGCATGTCTAATTCACTGACAGGCGCAGATTGTTGGGGCTAAATACCTAACACGCAAGTGCACGTATCGCAAACAAGTAGTAAAGTAGACTCGTGAGAGTCGGATGTCAATCCCACAGGGAATACGTAAATTATTTAATCCTAAGTACCAAATTTTAACAATTACGATTTTTATCCAGCCTACGCAAGTTTGTCAAATTAATCAACTAAATAAATTAAACTAATTAAGAAAGCAATTAAACAAGAGAAAATATCAATATAAAACGGATCTAGGATTTTATCTTCCCCTTATGCGATAATTCTTCACCCAATTAATCTTCTATCATGCAAGTTACAATTCCCGATTATTAACCCAAGACACGAAATTACTCATAACCAGCTGTCGCGTGTATTATGAGTCTATTATTCATAAAAGATTTACTATATGTCTATGCAAACCTAGTATGAATAAAGCATTAAATAACAAGTCTCGCAAACGGCTACCTAAGGTATTCTATATGTCTACGATAATACATGCAATTAACACACTCATCCGGTGAAAACTACTCGAAGGCTCTTCTATCCCTGTTCTAATTATTAAAACGATCTGTCAATCAATTCTAACAATAACAAATAGCAACATAAATTAGCTACGTTCATGCGCTAAATAAGATCAAGATAGAAGAAATAATCGAAGAATTAAACTTGCATAAAAGTCGAAAAAGAGGTTCGAATTACCACATAGGGTTCCAATAAAATTCTAGAATAAAAACTTAGCTACTCATGTTCTCTACGAAAAACATAATAAAAATACGAAAAAACATAAAAGCTATGAATAAAAATAAAAGAGGAGAACTCTGATGAAGAGTCGTCAAGTCTTCGTCTTCGTTCTTGTGCGTCTTCGTCTTCGTTCTTGTGCTCCTTGCTAGCGTGTAGAAAGATGAAAGATAAAAACTCAAGATTAAAAGATTCTTCCTAATTGTGTGCTTTTGGCCTTTAAATAGGGTGCAAAAATATAATAGGGCGGGTTTCCTTGTGTAATTAAACTTCCTTCACTGCGCCACCTCGACCACCCGGACGGCCGTGCGAGAATTCCCTCTTAAATCCGGACGGCCGTCCGGTCTTCAATTCTTCAGAATTCTGATTTTTTCACTTTTGGCCCACTTTTTCTCCGAATTTGCAGTTTTCACCCCATAAGTTGCCAATTCTTCAATTTGCACCTAAAATACAAATAATAGCCATTTTAAGCACCAATTATCGTTAAAACATACCAAAAGCTCCAATTAAAAGGTATAATTAAGTGTATAAATATACACTTAACACAGATGAATGTCGTTTCCGTCCCCTACTTTTTGCATCCGCAGCCGTCAATGAAATGACAGATTAAACTACATTGAAGGTAATTTGGAGTCCGGATGCCTAATTACCGCGATTGGACAGGTAAATTAAATTGGAGAATATTTGACGTCCGTCCCCTTTGTAGTATAAATAAGAGCAGTAAATACAGGTATCAACACGCGAAAATCTTCTACATCAATTACACATAAAAGCATAATACCTTCTTCAGGAAGTTACTGATTTGGCCGTCGGAGTGCTAACTCCGGCCTAAGTCCGGTTCTTTCCTTTTTTGTAGGTTTATCCGCGGGCCCCGGTCCAAGTTCCGGCCTACCCAACTCTCTAAATTAACCCATCACGAATCCAGTTGGATCAACTATGCATTGGATTCAGTCCAAAGAATTAAAATTGTTGTAGTTAGCAGAAAGATTCTTACAATAATGGCACAAAGTGAAGACGTGCCCTTAGATCCAATAACATATCTCTGTCAATAGTTGTGATCCTTTGTAGCACCCCCCTTCTAGCCGGGCGATAAATCGAACCGGTTTATCGGAATATTCAACTAGCGGAAGCAAAGGATCTCTTTGTAATTTTTAAAACATTGGAATGGGGCGAAAATGCAAATATTAAAACTTTGCAGTTTTCGAAAAACTTTCTTAGGTTGAATAGAGTTTTCGTTTCGAAATAAGTTTCAAGAGGAGGTTTTTCATTCGAGTGCTACAATATTACTATCGGTGGTGTGGTTCGAGGGGAAATCAGAGTTTTGAAAGGTTATTTTGGTGAATAAATCGAAAATCACAAATGGAGGCGTAAGAATAGTAAAATTTCGAAACTTACTATATCATAATAGGGGTTAAGTACGTTTCATAATGAAAATGAGTTCAAAAGGTACGAAAATGTTACGGTTTAATATTACACCACCAAAAGAAAATAACCAAAAGTTTCTAGCATCGTTCATAGGTCCTCGTACGTCTTCCAAAATTTCCGGGCAAGACCTCGATCCACTACTCGATCCATCCCGGTTGCGGATTACTACTACCTGCAATTAAAAGACATCTATATGAGCTATAAAGCTCAGTAAGAAATCCGAGTAATATCGAACTTTGGAAATACGTTATACCTAATATATAATATTATATACCCGTGCTTACCCACGTTCCGTACAACCACACAAGACAATCGGTCAAAGTCGCATAACTCACAAAAGCACACTAGTCACTTAAATCACGCACTTATGCAAAATGACTAAAATGCCCTTTTTGTGAAAATCATGAAAAATACATTTTTCCTTTTATCGGATCCGTGAAAGATTAATTTCTGTACCTGGCAATAAACCTGTTACGAGCCCGTTTTCACTAAGTGGAATTAAACCACTACACGCATCATCCTAGTTGGATACCGGCCCACTATATCCGAGTTGTTTATTACCCGATATTCCATTAATCTTTCAATTCAAAACCTTTTAATGCAACTTTTCGAAATCATGCTTATGACCCACACATAAACATCACAAATATCAATCAAGTGCTACAAAATCACACAAATATCACAATTCACCACATATTTGTAAATTGGGCAAAAATCCCAAATTCACACATATACACACAACCACACACGGCACACACACCATGCACAATCAGCACACACATATCCACACATTTTTAGCACACACACATGCAGCCAACACATTAAACTTCACTATTTAACACCAAACCATGCTTAAAAACAAATACCCCTTTCTCACATCTCATTTAATGAACTTATTACCACTTCTAGGCAATAATCCATTCAATAACTCCTCATAGGCAGTAAACCACATCCAACAGCAATTAAAAGTAAAAAACTACCAAAACTCATCACTCATAACTATTAAATCAAAACATAAACATTAAGGCACAAAACATAT